TCCTCTTCGCAACGCCTCGCTCAAAAACGGGGCAGAGAGGGACTAAATAAGCAGAGTGCTGCCCCGCGCCCCCACGGATGGGTCACGTCAGGTTTACACCTCCCGGGAGCGGAGGAGACAAGTGCTGCTACTTAAGGAACGTGCTGCCTCCCACCCGAGACACCAGTTCCTCTCCTTACCTGGAATGAGTCTATGACAGCTACAATCATGTTCAGCAGCTCGCCGCTTCGTAGGGTCTCGTCTGGGAACTGGAAGAGCACAAAAGCGAGGCAGGGCTCAGGACAGGACACGAGGGAGAGGCCAGTCAGGCGCTCCTGTCCCCCTAGCTGAGGCAAAACTCCTCCTCGGTTCAGGCTCAGACACACACACACACACACACGTTCCCCCCAGCATCGCCCTGCCTGACCCCGGTGGCTCACCGCGGGCTGGGCCAGCCCCAGCACCGCTGCCTAAACACGACGGGGGAGCGTGAGAAAAGGAGCCGAGAAAGCGCAGGAGGGCGGACAGCCCGGAGCAGGCAGGTTCAGCCGCTGCTGGAGGGGGCTGGAGGGGGCAGGTTGCTGCGAGCGAGCGCCCAGCACATCTGCGAGGGGCAGCTGGCACCAACCCTGCGGGCCGAGCGGAGCCGCGCGGGGAGCGAGGCCGCGTCGGCGGCGGGTGGCAGAAGTCAGCCAGGTCAGAGCGGCGAGGAGTCCCCATTGTTCCCTGTCCTTGCCGGCTTTGCTCACGGTTCCAGGGCCTCATGCATTATGCAGCACCGCAAGGAAACACGAAGAAAGATCAACACACGGGGCAAAAAGGCCGGGAAAATTGGCAGCAGCGAGCTACGGCTGCGCTGTTGGGATCTGGCTGTCCAGACAGGCTGCTCTCGGGACATTCTGCCTGACTCGAGCTGGCCACTACGCCTACGGGGGCAGCAACAGTCTGACCCCCCCTTTTGGAGGGGAGGCTGTGAAACCCAAAGGCCCAGGGAGGGGATCCAGCTGCTGCTCGACGCCAGGATCCTGCCCGAAGCACGCACCGCGCTGCTGCGTCGTACGGCGCCCGCTCTCGGTGCGGGTTTTTCTCTCCTCCCCAGGCTGTTGCTGCGCCCCTTTCCCCACAGAAGCCCCCACGAAGCGCTCGTGAGGAAAGGGGCTGGACGGCCTCGACGCCCAGCAGATGTTCCCGCTGAACCGGCCAGCAAGGAGGGAGGAGCAGGGACAGCTCATTCCTCCCAGGGAATGAGAAAGTACACGCAGAACTGTGACCCCCTCCAGTTCAGAGGGCAGGACGTTACCCTCCCTCTCTCCAACCCCCCAGCACCGCTCCCTGCAGCCAGGC